TAAATATATTCATAACATTGTGCTACCATCACCAACCATCCATCTCGATAACTCTTTTGATCTTGTGAAACTGAAACTCTATCCTCATTGAGCTGTAACTCCACATTGCCTCCTTCCCCCTAGGCCCTAGCAACCAGCATTCTACTTTCTGTCTTTATACTTTTGACTACTGTAAGTACCTCATATAAGTGGAATCATATGGTATTTGTCTTTTTGTGACTGGCTTATTTCACTTGGTATAATATTTTTAAGGTTCATCCATATTGTAGCATTTCCTCCCTTTTTAAGGCTGAATAATATTCCATTGTATGTATATACCACATTTTACTTATCGATTCGTCCATCATGTTTTAGCTATTGTGAATAGTGCTGCTGTGAACATGGATGTACAAATATCTCTTCAAGATCTTGCTATCAGTTCTTTTTTTTTTTTTTAAGATATGACCACATTTGTACCCCAAGCCAGAGAGGCAGGTCGTATGGGCTACTTCATTTGTACCTCCAGGGTCTCAGGTGCCACACTGCCATCTGACCGTTTTTTTTTTTTGAGGAAGATTGGCCCTGAGCTAACATCTGTTGCCAATCTTCCTCTTTTTCTTTTTTTCTCTTCAAAGCCCCAGTACATAGTTGTATATCCTACTTGTATATCCTTCTAGTTCTTCTGTGTGGGATGCCACCTCAGCATGGCTTGATGAGCCGTGAGTAAGTCCGTGCCCAGGATCCAAACTGGTGAACCCCGGGCCGCCGAAGCAGAACGTGCAAACTTAACCGCTACGCCACTGGGCTGGCCCCCCTGCTATCAGTTCTTTTGGTTATATACCCAGAAGTGGAATTGCTGGATCATATGGTAATTCTATTTTTAATTTTTTTGAGGAACCACCATACTGTATTCCACAGTAGCTGTACCATTGTAGAGTCCCACTAATAGTGCACAAGGGTCCAGTTTATCCATATCCTCTCCAACACTTGTTATTTTCTGTTTTTTTGATAGTAACCATCCCAATGGGTGTGAGGTGGTATCTCATTGGAGTTTTGATTTACATTTTCTTCATGATTAGTGATGTTGAGCATCTTTTCACGTGTTTATTGGTCATTCGTTTATTTTTGGAGAAATGTCTATTCAAGTCCTTTGTCTTTTTTTTTTTTTTTAATGAGGAAGATTGGCCCTGGGCTAACAACCGTGCCCATATCGCTCTACTTTACATGGGATGCTGCCACAGCATGGCTTGACAAGCGGTGCATTGGTCAGCGCCAGGGATCCGAACCTGCGAACCCTGGGCTGCCAAAGCGGAGCGTGTGAACTTAACCGCTAAGCCACCGGGCCATCCCCCTTTGTCCATTTTTTGAATTGGGTTGATTGGGGGTTTTGTTGTTGAGTTTTAGGAGTTCTCTATATATTCTGGATATTAATCCCTTATCAGGTGTATGATTTGCGAATATTTCTTCCCATTTTCTAGGTTGCCTTTTTACTCTGTCAATAGTGTTTTTTGATGCACAAAATTTTAAAATTTTCATGAAGTCCATTTTGTTTATTTTTTCTTTTGTTGCCTCTGCCTTTAGTGTCATATCCAAGAAATCATTGTCAAATCCAATGTTGTGAAACTCTTGCCCTATGTTTTCTTCTAAGAGTACATTTAGGTTTTTGATCCATTTTGAGTTAATTTTTGTATATGGTGTTAAGTAAGGGTTCATCTTCATTCTTTTTTTTTTTTGTGAGGAAGATCAGCCCTGAGCTAACATCTGCCAATCCTCCTCTTTTTTTTTTTTTTTTTTTGCTGAGGAAGACTGGCCCTGGGCTAACATCCGTGCCCATCTTCCTCCACTTTATATGGGACGCCGCCGCAGCATGGCTTGACAAGCGGTGTGTCAATGTGTGCCCAGGATCCGAACCGACGAACCCCCGGCTGCTGCAGTGGAGCATGTGCACCTAACTGCTTGCGCCACCGGGCCGGACTCTCAACTTCATTCTGTTGCATGTATGTGGATGTCCAGTTTTCCCAGCACCAGATGTTGAAATCCTTTTATTTTTTTTAATTTTTTTATTTTTTAAAGATTTTGTTTATCCCCCCCCCCCCAAAGCCCCAGTAGATAGTTGTATGTCTTAGCTGCACATCCTTCTAGTTGCTGTATGTGGGACACGGCCTCAGCATGGCCGGAAGAAGCTGTGTGTCGGTGCGCACCCGGGATCCGAACCCCGGGCCGCCAGCAGTGGAGCGCGCACACTTAACCGCTAAACCACGGGGCCGGCCCAGAATCCTTTTATTTTTAATTTGTTTGCATCTTTGAATCTAAAGTGTCTCTTTTAGATAGCATATAGTTGGATCTTTCTTTTTAATCCAGTAAATATTATTTTTTTGCTATATTATTTTTAATTTTATTATTTTTATATTTGTTATAAATATGTTTATTTTATTTACTTATTATTTTGTCAGTATTATTATTTACAAAAATAGGCAATGGATGGATTTGCCTGTGGGTTGTAATTTGCTGCCCCTGGTCTAGAAGGATTCTCAAGAATTCATTCCGTATATCTATATCCTTATTAATTGAAAGCAATGTATATATTTCTTTAGCAGAACCCAGTCAATGTGGACTACTTTTAAGTAGTCCATAATTTCCTTTAGTAAAGTGTTTTAATTGACCCATGCCTTCCTACCTTCTCCTTTGTCATTAAAATACGTGAGAAAATATGCCATCTACACATAGAAGAGTTGACAGTGTGCGAGTGTTACTTCTCTTGCCCAGCTGGGCTTAGTGAAGCCTTAGCACTGGTTAGTGTTTATGGCACCATCAACAAAAGTGCGAGAATTAAAACTGGAAAAGAGGGTAAGAGGTGTAAGAAAAATGGGGTTCAGAAATCAGGGCTGTAGAGAGGTCTGTTAGTACCTCTCTTACCTTCTGCAAAACCAAGTGTCAAAACTCCAGTCAGAGGCTCTACAAGTTCAACTATCTTCGCTGTCCTTGAGGTAGATTACCATCTTAATAAGCAGCAGTACAGTGAAGAATTTGTTGTAACATTATGTTCACATCCCAGGAACTGAGCATATGAACAGTCCTTTGATATGATTATAACAATTCCATAGAACAAATCTCTGTTTCCATTGAGTCTCCTATGAGTGTATGTTTTCATTAGAGTTGAGGAGAGGAGAGGAGAGGTTTGGCAAATGATTTGCCTCTACCATGAAGCTGAGACCGTGTTCCAACTCCCTCTTTCCCAATCCTGTATTCCTCTCAGAATTCTCAGACACTTCTAAATCCAACAGGCCAGGCAGTGGAAACATGAAGGAGGTAGACAGGTTAAATGTGTAGGTTTGAATTCTGTTTAGGAGGCGGTGAGTGGAGACAGAGCCTGGGGAACTCCCTGATTGGGCAAGATTTGTCCCTAATCTTCATGCCGGGGCCTGGGCGGTTACCCTCAATAGCCAGAATGGTGCTGGAGAAGAGGCCAAAGCCATAGATTCTAGTCTTGTTAGTGCTTGTAACTCACTGTGTAACCTTGACAAGCTCCTTATCCTCGATGTACAGTTTTTCAGAAGTGAGTTTGTGTAATGATCTTGCTGGTCTCTCCCAAATCAATATCAATATCACTCCATCATCAGGCTTTAGTCCACCTTTCTAGTCATTCATTCCAGAGTTATTGAGCATTTACTATATGATGAGAACCTTTATCATGACCTGGGCAGCAGAAAGGTGTGGAGAGGAACACTATTCTAAGTTTGTTTTATACACTTGCATATTCATTGGGCAGAAGCTCGGTTTTTATCTCTGAACTTAGTCTGGTGTCTAGCATATACTAACTGCTCAATAAGTGTGTGTTACATGGACAAATATCCTATTCTCATACACTAGGAATCAGGATTCTAGTGCCAAATATGGTCTATCAGATTTTCATTGCAACAAAACAATTTGAAAGTCGCATGAGTTTTGGCCTAATTTTTCAAGATCTGCAGGTGGTTTCCTGTTCTACCTGTGGAACTCTGAAAAATGAATTTTAGCTTATACATTTCAATATATAGTTTTTGTGCCTAAAAGCATATGGCAACAAAAACTCAACATACAGTGACTAGACAGGAATTCCATAAAAACTTGCATAAAACTATAGAGGCTCTATCTGGGACTACTGAAAGCTATTGAAAACTATTTAAAAAAAAACTATTGAAAACTACAGAAAATACAGTTATGCAATGAATGTCACAGAATATCTTTGTACTCAAAGTGGTGCTGTTGAAAATTAGATAAATTTACTACTATTTTATTTGCACTTTTAAGTCTCAATTTATTTGGTTATTCCAAAAATTTGATTAACTTGTTCAAGGATATAGGCCTCTATATCATAGCAGCATATATCAGACCAGTCTTTCTGAAATCTCAGAAAACCCACTTGACCATTTTAGCAAATAAGTATTCAGTAGTAAGCATTTTGAGAGAATATCTTCCCCCTACACTCCAAAAAACCCCCCAAAAACCCCACATTGTCTACTCAAATGGACCTTGTAGATGAGCTGAAGAATTTCTTTTTATCCTAAAGTTTTTGCTGTTCCTTATGTTAAAAAACAATGCCTAACCTAGTCATTTAGACAAAATGTCTAATTATAAAGCCCTACAGAACACAAAGCTCTGCTTATCAGATTGTCTCAGAAGATGAGATGTTGAGTGATAAATTCTTCTGTTGTCCCATGTCTGCTTAATTATTCAGCTTTTTTTTGGCTGAGGAAGATTCGCCCTGAGCTAACATCTGCTGCCAATCTTTCTCTTTTTTCACTTGAGGGAGATTCACTCTGAGCTGACATCTGTGCCGGTCTTCCTCTGTTTTGTATGTGGGTCGCTGCCACAGCATGGCTGACGAGTGGAGTAAGTCCATGCCCAGGACCCAAACTCACGAACCCGGGCCACCAAAGCAGAGTGTATGGAACTTGAACCACTTGGCCAGGGGGCCGGCCCCTATTCAGCTTTTTAATTGGAGAATCATTCTCTGCCCCCTCCCTTTTTTATTTTAATAGGAAACCTCCATTTTAGAGGAATACAATATCAATTGGACTCAGAAGCTGGGAGCTGGAATTAGTGGTCCAGTTAGGTAAGAAACCTATGTGCAAATTATGACAAAATTGCTCTGAAAAGGGCCATTTGAAATACATCTTAAATTAGAAGCATCAGCTATGCCAGATTTGTAAAATAGCCTAAATTTAACAAGTGGAGGTATTTATGATAGGCTTTTCCTCCTCCATTTAGAAATATATTTAAGTGACCGAGTCACATGGTCTGTGATAGACTCATTTAAGATGTCAATACTGTGGAGATGCTGTGAGAGTCACCTGTAGCCAGCAGAGGCCATTATTTCTTTCTTGGCCAGCCTCCAGTTGATTTCATGTGGCTCAGGATCTGAGGCCTGTGAAGGGTGGGTGAGATGCTTCTCTGCCTTTCCACCTGCTAGCCCTGGGGGCAAGTTTATTCTGATGAACCTGGATATATTCTTGTTTAGAAGGACAATTTTCAAAGAACAAATTTGTTAAATTAGTTTTCACTGTAACATAGATGATTTCTGATTGAATTTTTTCTCCAAATCTAGAGTCTGTGTGAAGAAATCTACCCAAGAACGGTTTGCACTGAAAATTCTTTTTGATCGTCCAAAAGCTAGAAATGAGGTATGGTCCTTTATTGCCTTGACTTGCTTAAATATTTGAAGTGCCTAAGAATTATTCTTTTTATAAGTAAGGCAGCTTCCTGGAGAGAATGCAGAGATGCACAAAGAGTTTTATGTCCACACTTATCCCTTTTCCCTATTCAAGTTATCATCATAAAGCAGTCTTCTGTCTATCAGTACCAAAGGCTGTTAGTCTTATTTCCCTTCAACCACCTCTTGCTCTTTTTCACTTAATGTGATTCTTGTACCCTGAAGTTTTCAGGTTTACTTCAGCTTTTGCTTATTGGAAAAGGTCCTTGAAGAGTGGAGATAAAATAGTACAAAGAGGGTCTGGTGAAGCATCTTGAAAGTGTGCTGGCGGGCTGGCCCCGTGGCTTAGCGGTTAAGTGCACATGCTCTACTGCTGGCAGCCCGGGTTCGGATCCCGGGCGTGCACCAACGCACCACTTCTCCGGCCATGCTGAGGCCGCGTCCCACATGCAGCAACTAGAAGGATGTGCAGCTATGACATAAAACTATCTACTGGGGCTTTGGGGGGGGGAAATAAATAAATAAATCTTAAAAAAAAAAAAAAAGAAAGTGTGCTGGCTGCACGGGGGCTCTGAGGATGGGTTTCTAGTTTTTAAAAATAGACATTGTGTCAGATTATCTGGATGTGGTGATGACATGTTAACAACATGTGCAGTGAACAACTTATTCTTTTGCTTAGAGATATATGAATAATTTCTGAAATAAAATGAATTATTTGCCAAATTTTTCATTTGCTAATAGATAGGACAGTAGAAAGTAAATCTGTTGTTGAGGTTTTATTCATGGAAAGAGCATTAAGGAGATAATCTGTATATGAAAAAAAATTTTTTTTTTTACATAATTCCAAGTGATAAAGTTTTTTTTACTGTAATAGTTTATCCCCTTGTGCCTAGTGTGGTCAGTTTTGGGGGGAAGTTTGGAGAGAAAATGTTGGCATCCCCTATGTACAGAAGCATTTCCTCTGTTCTCTTTAAGGTACGTCTGCACATGATGTGTGCCACACACTCAAATATAGTTCAAATTATTGAAGTGTTTGCTAACAGTGTACAGTTTCCTCATGAGTCCAGCCCCAGGTAAGACTGCACAGGGTCATCATCACATGCCCATCTCTCCATATGTAGGCCAAGGTGTAGTGGGGTCTTCCTCTCTTTTGTGCCCTCTCTCTCCCCACCCCTTTGTCTCCTTCCCTCCCTCCCTCTCTGCCTTGGCCCCCCCCCCCCCACCCCCCGCTTTCTCTTTCTTCTCTCCTTTACTTTTTATTTTGGAAAATTTCAAACATTTGTAAAAGCAGCCAGAAGTATGTAATGAATCCCCAAGTACCCATCACCCAACCTCGACAGTATCAACTCATTGCCAGTCTTGTTTCATCTAAACCCCACCCACCCTCCTGGCCCCCTGATTATTGTGATTACTTTCTCTTTTTTAAAAAAGCATGTAATGTGGAATTAAAACAGATTCTATTTCAAATTAGTGAAAGGGAACCAAACATTCTAGGCAGTGTCTTAGAGGTTGATATGGGAAAAAGCCCTGATGGCTTAATCTGACATTCCTTTTAAAGGACTAAATCAGTATTATTCTTTTAGCCACCAAGTATCTGGCAAGCCCATTGGGTGGCATTCTAACTCTCTTCCAGGGAATTCAAAATTAAATAAGGTATGGTTTCTGCTGAGGGGACTGACATGTAAACCTATCATCATCGCAATATGATAGGCACCGAGGAGAGGCATCCTTAAAATATTTTGAGCTTACAAAGGAGGAGAGCTGCTAACTGTAGGCTGGGGGGTGAGATGTCTCACAGAGCAGTGATGTGGAGGCTAGGACTTGAAGGTGGTGGGTAGGAGTTTTCCAGGTGGAGATACGTAAAAACAAGTGGGAAATCAAATGATTATTTCTTACAACTGTGCTCTGTTGGTGAAAGCATTTGGATGGAAGCTGGAAGCATTTATATCAAAGAATGGTAACTGAAATTCAGATTTTTTTTTAAAACAAGATGAAAATTTTTGCTTTTATTTAATAGCTGTGTAACCCCGTCCAGCTGTCTTGCTGGGCATGCTACTGGTCACAGAATACTAGTGGAGTGGGGGCGGGGAGTGGAGAGAGAGACACACATGCATGCACACACACACAGAATGAGAATGAATAACCAGGACAGCCCAGCACCCAGCCAGATAACTACACAAAGTCATATTCTGTTTTCAATTCACTTTCAGTCTAGCTGCCCTAAAATATATATACAAAACATGTCACTTAAAAGATCACCCCCTCTTTAACAAGTTCTAGTCACCCTTTAACAAGTCATTCTTTAAGAAGATCTAGTAATGACAAGTATAGTATCTTCAAAAGGATCATTGTCTTCAAAACTAATTCTTTTACTTCCATTTTAGCTTCTTCGAAAGTTTTAGGTCAGGGATATTCCTTATCCTTAGTGTCTTGTTGGTAGTGACAAGGGTTCTAACTCAGAGGGGCTTGGTAGGACTACACTTAGGAAGTAGTTACACACTTTGTAGGTGAGGTATCTTTAGGTTAGCTACTTGATGTTTCAGTTTTTTTTTTTTTTAACTTAACAAAATCAAATGCTTTCAAACAGGGCTCGACTCTTAATTGTAATGGAGATGATGGAAGGGGGAGAGCTATTTCACAGAATCAGCCAGCACCGGCACTTTACAGAGAAGCAAGCCAGCCAAGTAACAAAGCAGGCAAGTTAACCCCGGGTACCGATCAAACCGCCAACAGTGTTGGTTAACAAGCACAATTTCATTGGGGGGAATAAAAGAAAGCTTGAAGAAAAGCTCTATTTGATCTCTCATTGCCTGCTTTGTTATGTAATCAGAAAAGATGCCTTGACAGGAGAAATGTGAAAATGTGACCCCTTTTTTTCTTTGGGGGGGGACTGTATTCTTAAGTGGTTGTCAGTTGTTTGTCTATTATCAGATTTAAATAAACTCTGGAAGGAAGGTAATCTTACTCCTTTGCAGTCTGTAGATATTTTAGACATGCAGCTTCCAAGCACTGTTATTGGACTTTGAGATAAAATGCTGCTGATACCACCTGAAAGATTGTATGGTATAAACATATGTTCTAAGACAATTGTGTATATGATACTTTTTGCTTATGAGTCATCTTTCTCTCATCAGATTTTAATAGTATTCTGTAGTATTATTATTAAAATCCTGTAGTATTTTAATAGGTCTTTGTAATTCTGGGTTATTCCTGATTATATTCTCTCTATTTTGACATCACATTTTATTGCTTAGAGAAATGGTTTATGTCACAAACAATACTAGGAATCCAACTGGAAATAATAACCTCTTGAGGAGGTGAAAAGCTAAACCCTCAAGGCTTATTTTGAGGCCAAGCAAGCAAGGCAAAGAAAAGCAGGAAGCATAGCACAATTGGTTCTTAATAAAAAATTCTTTCAAATTTTCCATGAGCCTCAAGCATTTTTTGATGCCTCCTTTCTGGTAGGGAGGAACTAATATTTGAAATACCAAGACAATTCCATACTGAGAGTTGAAGAACAGGTAGAATTTGTTCTTTCTATTTAATCTAAAAAATTACACCTTGTATTTTTCAAATGTTAGGACTAAAGGGTGAGCTCTGATACTCTTCTGTAAAATAAAAACCCTTCAAATCCACCTGAACAGGCAACGTTTTCAACAAGTGGGATGAGCAAATTGGAACATCAGGTGGAAAAATGTAGTCAGCTGCCTTCCGTTTTTCTTGAAGGCAGAACTTGAAGTTGAGCTCTCTGGAGAGTGCCGTTCTCCCCAGAGCCAGGTGGTAGTACCTGCTGCCTGCTAGGGGAGCCCAGGCCTGCTGCAGACTGCCTTGCACAGTGTTTGCTCTGCAGTGCTTGTCACCTCAGATGAATGCAGACGGAAGCATTTCATTTTTCCCATTTCGTACAGGATTTAACTATCAGTTTATTCTGACAAAGAACTGTTTTACTGTTGTATTTTTCTTTTTGTTTAACAAAATACAGGTTGCAGTTAAACTAAGCTTAATTCATTTCTGTTTCTTGGTACACAGTCTTGCTTAATTTCTGCTTTAGAATTGAAAACTGACGATAGTCTTAATTGACTTAATTAAGGATCATTTTTTTAACGTCCTGCATTCTCTAAACCAGGGGCATTGAAGAGTTCTCTTTTCTAAGATGTGGTTGCTCCATTATGTCCTTTTCCAGATAGCTTTGGCTCTACAGCACTGTCACTTGTTAAACATCGCACATAGAGACCTCAAGCCTGAAAATCTGCTCTTCAAGGATAACTCTTTGGTGAGATGACTTGCTTTTCTGCATTTTAGTGCTGCCGATTTCAACATAGTTCAGGAATGGGTGTGTAGATATGTATGTTTTTGGAGTGCTCTGAATCCATGGTGAAGAGCTTACTTTTCCTACTTGTTCCCTTGCTAGAGGCTCAGAGAAATTGTATCATACCCTGGCATTGATAATTTTGGATGATACAGATATGTATTTGTAGGACTTAAAGTTTTGGATATTATTTGGAGGGACTTTGGGAAGGGTTATATGCTATTATATATGCCGTTATATATTACCTTGAAACTCAATAGTTGTATTTGCTGTTAACCCTGATAAGGTGTGTTTTCCTCTCCAGCCTCACCCCTTGCACCATGTCCCATCACATAAGTTGCTCTGGCTATCATGAAGCTAATGTTAAGAGGGAAGCAGCATCCTGAATTGAGGAGAGATAATGGGCCAATAGATAGAGTTAGGGGACATTTGACTGAATTCTTGATTTCAGTGCTGCCTTTATAAGTTATAAAACAAGGCTAAGTGTGAGTGTAAAAATTCCTTACTTCTGTATTACTAAGAACAATTCCTTAATATGAACCATTGTCGCCAGACCTGAGGATGTGCTACTGATTGGCTCAGGTCTCAGCCAGTAACTCATGAGAGTGCAAGGTAACATGTCTTGCTTTTGGATTTTCCTTTAATGTTTACTGAGAACTCTGGAGCAATGACTCCCATTTGTTTTATTTCAGGATGCCCCAGTGAAGTTGTGTGACTTTGGATTTGCCAAAATTGACCAAGGTGACTTGATGACACCCCAGTTCACCCCTTACTATGTAGCACCTCAGGTAAGCATGTGCTGTTTCTGCCATAAGATGTATCATTAAGCTGCCTGTAGATTCTTGTTTCTTTTGTTCTACAGCACAAGTAGGCGTGTATTACAAATGGGAGGGGGAGAACTCAGCTTCAGAAACCAACAAGCTGCTTAATTTGGGGTAGGCATTTTATTCTTTTAAAATCAACTTTATTGAGGTATGATTTGTATACAATAAAATACTCCTACTTTAAGTGTAGTTTGATGAGATACTCCTGCATGATCACCACCACAATCAAGATAGAAAACACTTCCATCACTTTAAAAGCTGTCTTGTGCACCTTTGCAGTCAGTCTCCTCCCAACTTAACCCCTAGCCTCGGGCAACGCACTGATCTGCTTTCTGTCATTATTGGTTAGTTTTGCCTGTATAAAATTTCATAAGAATGGAATTCCTGTAGCTTTTGTGTTTCACTTCTTTTGCTTAGCGTGTTTTTAAAATTCATCCATGTGGCTGCATGTATCAGTAGTTAGTTCCTTTTTATTGCTAAGTAGTATTCTATCGTATGACTAAGCCATGTTTGTTTATCCATTCACTGACTGATGACCATTTTGGGTTGTTTCCCATTCTTGGCTGTTAATGAATAAAGCTGCTAGGAACATTCATTTACAAGTTTTGGGGGACATATTCTTCCCCTCTTACATAATATCTTTTTCCAAAATGGTTGTACCATTTTACTTATGCACCAGTAAAGTATAAGAGTTCCAGTTGCTTTGTGTTCTTAGCACCAACTCACGTTTGTTAGTATTTATAATCTTAGTCATTCTGGTAGGTACGTAGTGTTATTTCATTATGGATTTAATTATAGCATTTTCCTGATAGCTACTGTTGTTGAGTATTTTTTCATGTGTTTTTTGGCTATTCTGTTGTGAAATATGGGTACAACATTCTGTTGTGAACTATGGATACAAATATTTTGTCCTTTTTTTGTGTTGGTTTTGTAATTGAGGTATGAGAATTTTTTATTGTATTCTGGATACGAGTTCTTTGTCATATATATGTATTAATTTTTTACTGCTTTCTGTAACAAATTGCCACAAACTTATTGGCTTAAAACAACATGCATTTATTACCTTACAGTTTTGGAGGTCAGAAGTCTGAAATGGTTCAAGGTGTCAGCAAGACTGTGTTCCTTTTGGAAGCTCTAGGGAAGAATCCATTTCTTTGCCTTTTCCCGCTTCTAGTGGCTGCTCACATTCTTTGGCTTGTCGCATCTTCCATTTTCGAAGCCAGCAGTGTAGCTTCTTCCAATCTCTCTTTCTAACTCTGACGCTCTTGCCTCCCTCTTATAAAGACCCTTGCGATTACATTGGATCCACTTGGATAATCCAAGATAAACCCCATTTCAAGATCCTTAGTTTAATCAAATCTGCAAAGTCTCTTTGACGGGGTCCAGGGATTAGGACATGAACATTTTTGGGAGGCCATTATTCTGCCTACCACATATGCATTATGAATATTTCTCTTAGTCTGTGGCTTGCTTTTCAATTTTCTTAATGGTCTTTTCAATAGCAGAAGTTTTTAATTTTGGTTGAATCTGAGTCACCAATTTTTTTTTTGATGGTTAGGCTTTTTGTTCCTGTCTAAGAGGTCTTTCCATACCCATGGACATGAAGATTTTCTCATGTTTTCTTATTAAAGGTTATAGTTTTAGCTTTAACATTGCAGACTGTGATCCATTTGAGTTATTTTTTTGTGTATATGTAACAATCAGGGTCAAGTTTCTTTCTTTTTTTTTCTTTTTGGATGTCAGGTTGTTTCCACATCATTTGCCGAAAGACTATCCTGGCATCATTGAATTACCTTGCAGTTTTGTTGAAAATCAATTGACTATATATGTGTTGGTCTATTCTAGATTCTATTCTGTTTATTTGATATATATGTCTATCCTTACGGCAATATCATCTGGATTACTGTAGCTTTATATTAAGTCTTGACCTTAGGTAGTGTAATAAGTCCTTCAAATTTATTTTTTTTCCAAATTGTTTTGACTATTCTGGATCCTTTGCATTTCTCCATAGTTTAGAATTCACTTCTCTATAACAGAAAAACCTCTTGGGATTTGATTTGGATTGTGTTTGATCTATAGATGAATTTGGAGAGAACTGACATCTTAATATAAAATCTTCCGATCAATGAAAATGGTATTTCTCTCTATTTATTTAGGTCTTTTTCTTAGAAATGTTCATATTTCTTAGTGTATAGGTCTTATACAGATTTTCTTAAATTTATTCCTATATTTTATGTTTTTAGATGCTATTGGAAATATTTTAAACAATTTCATTTTCCAATTGTTTCTTGCTAGTTTATAGAAATACAAATGATTTTTGATCCCTTGTATGCTGGGATTTTACTAAATTCATTTATTAATTCCAGTAGATTTTTTGTAGATTTGTTAAAATTTTCTACATACAAGATCATGTCATCTGTTAATACAGTTTTACCTTGTTCTTTCCAGTATGTTTGCCTTTTATTTCTTTTTTTTTTAAATTATTTATTTATTTATTTATTTAATTTTCCCCCAAAGGCCCAGTAGATAGTTGTACGTCATAGCTGCATGTCCTTCTAGTTGCTGTATGTGGGACGTGGCCTCAGCATGGCCGGAGAAGCAGTGAGTCGGTACGCGCCCGGGATCCGAACCCCGGGCCGCCAGCAGCGGAGCGCACGAACTTAACCACGAAGCCATGGGGCTGGCCCTTGCTTTTATTTCTTTTCCGTGCTTTATTGTACTGGGTGGGACCACCAGTTGAATATGATGAGAGCAGACATCCTTGCCTTGATTTTGATGTTATAGAAAAAATGTTCAATCTTTAACCATTAAGTATGATATTACTATTATGTTTTTTGTAGCTGTCCCTTATCAGTTTGAGGACGCTTCTTTCTATTTCTAGTTTACTGAAAGAGAATATGTTAAAATTTTGTCCAATGCTTTCCCTGCATCTATTGAGCTGATGATATATTTTTTCTTCTTTATTTTGTTAATATGATGAATTAATTGATTTTCAAATGTTATACCAATCTTACATCCCTGGGATAAACCTCGCTTAGCCATGATATATTATCTTCTTGCCTGATTTGATTTGCTAATATTTTGTTAAGGATTTCTGTGTCTTTTAACAAAAGGGATATTGGTCCATAATCTTTTCTTGTAATGTCTTTGCCTAGTTTCAGGCTATCAGGGTAATGCTAGCCTTATACAATTAGTTGGGAAGTGTGTCCTCCTCCTTTATTTTCTGAAACAGTTTATGTAAGATTGGTATTTGGGAGTTTCTACTGTGGAAAGATTTTTTTTTTAACAGTTTTATTTATTTATTTATTTATTTATTTTGTGAGGGAGATCAGCCCTGAGCTAACATCCACGCTAATCCTCCTCTTTTTGCTGAGGAAGACTGGCTCTGAGCTAACATCTATTGCCAATCCTCCTCCATTTTTTTTCCCCAAAGCCCCAGTAGATAGTTGTACGTCATAGTTGCACATCCTTCTAGTTGCTGTATGTGGGACGCCGCCTCAGCATGGCC